ACATTCAAATATATAACAGGTAAACACCAGTGAAAATTATAAAAAGGCATCTGAAGAGAAGTGTAAAAAAATCGCGAACTTTTGAGAAGAATACACCACAATAAGAGTATTTCCAATTTCGGTTTCAAATTTGACTGTAAAATATCTGTTAAAAAAATACAAATTAAACATTTTGTAAGAATTTTCAGAAGTAAAACTTTGTACATGTTGTTGAAAAATAGTCTTCAAAAACATGTTTGAAATAAAATACATTGTTATATCACAATAGTTGGAAGTATTATCTTGTTTAGGTGGTATCATAATTTTTTAAAAAAATCAGCAGTTAAATATATGTCAAGTACCTGGTTTTAATAATTTAGTTTTGATCACACCAAAAACGCCATCTGTCTGTCTATCTATCTCTTTACCAAGCTGTCTACCTATGTTATTGAAGGATTAATTTAAACAAAAGATAAAAAAACAATGCCTAAATAAAAGGAAATGTATAAAGGATAATATATAGGATTAGGAGACGCTTGTTAAGTAATGACCTTTTTTTTTTTACTTCTCCATTTTACCACTAGATTGCCTCAATTCTACATACTTTTTGGAGGGCATAAGTGTGAATTAATGAGGCCTAATCGTTTATAGTTTGTGATCTTTCATATAGTATACTACATGATTATCAAGTTTGATAAAACTTAATATATTGCAATGCGTTTTTGTATGTCTGATAAAATCTGGTCGGTAGGTAAAAGCTCGTATTTAATTACTGACTGTATTTGTACGGTGTCTCTTCGCTTAACATGTCGTGCTATTAAACTTACAAGAGTAAGCACAATTACTTGAATTCGTTTAGCTATTAGGACTTGGTTATTTTTTAGCATTGGAAAAAGAACCCAGATTTGAACGATAAGAGACGTAACGGAACTTTTGTGGATTTTAATAAATTGGTTTGGATCAATATGAGTGACTGCCAAGCAGGATAGTATGAATAACTTCAAAAGTTCAATAAGTAAAACACAGAACCAGAAATATATAATTACACTTACAAGTTACAGTTACAGAGACACTAAGACTACTTTTCCTGATAAGTCGTCAAATATTTCTCCAGTTTTTAGAAAGAAAAAAAATCTTAAAACTGTTCTATGCCGGAAATTGATATATATATATATATATATATAAAGATGTTTGAAACTGACGGACAAATAAGTATTGTATTCTTCATACAAAGGAGGGCGGGTTGGGGTTAATATATTAATTACTTCATCTGTGGCGTTATAAGTCTTACATGGAGTCAAGTATACTTCGTCGAAGGGTTTAAGATTGCGATTTAATCTTCATTGCCTTAACAATGTAAGGTATAAAGCTTTTTAAAAAAATATAAAACATTCAGAAACATTATGAAAAAAGTATAATATAAAATTATATTTGTTTAGTTACAGTTCATGAAATATCCGGTTACAGATGTTATAATTTTTTGTGTTATAAATCATTAAATTTTATGTCGGAGCTTTGTAGTTGAGAAGTGAGGAACTAAGAGACTTGAAATGAATATGCTGTAAAGTTGCATTCAGTTAGTGCCGCACTATATCTCACATCCTTCTGCAGTGCGCCCTCTATTGATCAGTTTCTTTTACATCAAACTTAGCAGACTAAAAGTCTCCAATTTCGACGCCGCGTTGGCGGTCAGTGTAGGGATACGCCTTGTCATGAGTTACTGGGTAATGTGTTTCTCCGACAACCAGAAATTAATCTAGTTGATGATAAGAACTGTAATAGAAAAGGGAGTAAAGTTAAATGGGTGAATTTTAAAACGGCGCAACCATCTCGCAAAGTTTAAACCTCTTTCTTTAAATAATATGTTTGCATGTTTTATTTCGAATCGAGCACGGTCCAGTAGTTATCGTTATTTAAAAGTTATTTAAAACGGCGCAACCATCTCCCAAAGTTTGAACCTCTTTCTTTAAATAATATGTTTGCATGTTTTATTTCGAATCGAGCACGGTCCAGTAGTTATCGTGCAGAATGTAGGGCTGAGATTCCGTGCTCTGCCTACGACGAGTATCAAAACCCAATTTTTAGTGTCGTAAACTTGCAGCCTCACCACTGAGCCACTGGGGTGCACAGAAAAAATTAATTTCAATATTTTATATTCTGTTATATTTTACCTGATAAGAATCAAATAGATAATAAAACAATGTTACAAATAACAGTTCGTTACAAAGCATCACATTTTGTTTCCCAGTGCGAATTGGGATTTTTCTTTACTAGTAACACAAAATAAAGGGGCGTAATCGTCCGAAATATGTGGAAATACAATTACGACTAAAGTCTACAACCACGCTTGGAAAAACTATGCTGGCTAGTTGAACTTCTACATCTTTCATCCGACATAATAGAGTTTTTCTAATTCAGTAATCCGTTGTGTTGTTGCATTCTCATCTTTTTCGCTAATGAAAAGTTTAGTAAAACATCTATATAATTAAAATAGTAACGGGAAAAGCTATTTAAACTTCATTAAACTATACAAAAAGATTAGGAGTCGGAAAGTACGAATGATGTCGTCATATGCGTAAGGGAGGGATGGGTGTAGATAGTACTATGAACTGCAAAAGAAAAGATATTTGGAGAATGGACCTGTCATCCCTCAGAATCCCATCTCAGAAAGCAGTGTTTATGTGTTAAGGTTTCATGTGTGAATTTCTTCATTTGTTTACAGATGCTTAGAGCACCGATACCGTCACTCTGTTTAGTTCGGACCTACGAACAATATCATTGAGTTTTAATTTTTGCCCCCAATACCCATGTTTTGAAAACATTGCTAGATCTGGTGTCTCTTACTATACAAGACGATTGGTTTGTTGTTCGGTTCGGCTCAAAGTATTTTATACTATGGGTGTTCTGTGGGTATTACATGTTGTGGAATACGTTTAACCACAAAGTCACTGAAACCATTAGATTCGTTTAGAACTCTACATACCCAATCTCATACGTGAGTAGTCTAGACAGGCCAATTAACTATTTTAATTACTTTAAATACACAGCATTGCCTTTAAATTTTGTAAGCTTTGTACATTCAAATACAAAATACCACAACCAAAAAGGTTTCGTATGCGAAGCACGAAATTTTCCCCTTATTTATTATCATTATTACAATTCCTCGTATTTTTTTAGTCTGTGTGCGCAGCGATAGGTGGTGTTTCCATGGTTCTAGGTAAAGGGTCGTGCCACGAAAAATGTTGAAAACCACTGGACTAGAGGAAAGGCAGCTAGTTAACGCCACCTACTGCCAACTTAAATTTTCAACCATATTATTGAGCTGATAAAAAAGAAAACGTTTGTTTTAGCATAAAGCTGTACAATAGGGGATATCTATGTTGTGTCCATTGCGAGGATCAAACTCCAAATTCAGGTGTTATAAACCCTACGACCATTAAGCCGTCAGGTAACAAATTAAAATTTAAGAATCAAAGAAAACACACTTCAGGATATAATATATAATTTGATTTTATTATTATGTTTCTGCAAATCACATAAATATTTTAACATCTTTGATATTTGATTACTTTGAGATATTCATAGGAACCTTTTCTTACTCAGAAGTCAAACTTCTCTGTTCAAGCTCTTGGAAACCTGAGGTAGCAATATTGATGGTAAAACAAAATCACAAATGCTCATTATTTGAAATATTGTTCGTATTAAAACAAATTGGTCAGTACATTTATCAGAAATATGTTATCACAAAAGAAATAGGAGTATTTATTCGGATTTTTTATAAATCTTCAGCGAAATCTTATATCCATTTAAAAATCCAAATTATGTTTTGATATTTTCATAAATTACTCGTTTGTTTGCTTCTTGTTAAATATAAAGCTTTACAAATAGTTTTCTACGCTATGCCCACACTAGAGATCTAACCCAGAATTTAGCGATGTATAGGCTTACCAGCGACAGTCTGGGTTCACTTGTACATAATAAATGCCATTCCTTTAATATTATATCATTAGGTAGGTACTTGAAGAGAATGTAAATATATATGAAAATGTATCCCAAGAGTTAATTTTTTTCATGGTCACAAAAGATGCGAATGTTATTCATATTTAATAAGTACAAATAATTCATTTTTATAAGTTTAAATGGCAGCAATAGCAATATCGCATTGACACTTGTAACTACGCTATACCACGCTTCTAATTTGATATACTTTTGGTCTTTCTATAAAAAACGGTTGTAACTCTGTGGTCAGAAAAGCAATTTTTTCGAAGTGTCTACAAGTTACGGCTAAAAAGTTGGCATAAGATTTGTAAAGAGGGATGACTTAATCTGCTTTTTACCGACTCTTTTTTTTTAAATCCTGGAAATTATTGAACAGAAAAAAAAACTTTCATAGTTGAAGTAAGCTGTGAAAAAGGTCCTTTATCGTCACTGCTGAAATTGCTTGAGCAGTTCATAGTTTAACCCTACAGTAACTGATGTGATCTATACCCCGACGTCTTTCTAAACTATTAATTCATCAAATTTCTTGTGGGTCGAAAACTTTCGTGGTTACAGGATCTCTAATAACGTACGCTTCATAAAAAAATATAGAAAAAATGGAAATAATTTTCAATACTAAAGTTAACCCATTAATCACTGATTCGGTTCTCAGTGTATTTTAGTTAAAAAATTAATGGTTTCACCATATATTTTTACCAGTTCTTTACATTGAATGTTATAACAGACAAAAACATAAAATTATTTAATTTGATGTAATATATTGACTTCCACCGGTAGTGAACGGTATGACAAATAAATTAGTAATTTGAGGATTAACATTATCGATGACATATTTATTGTTATATATATATATATATATATATATATAT